AAGCACCATTCTTTTTCCTCTGGATCCCATTTTGTAAATTATTTCTTAAGAAATAATTATGACTCTAAACTAATGCATGAGCACGCACATACGTTTGAGAGCAAACTGAATAACAATCGACGATTTATTTCGTTACTAGACAAAAAGACCGTATGTTTGTATGTATGTAAAATTGGGCTGGAACGCGACGCGCCATAATTTTCTAACCATAAACACCGTATGTAACGAATCTTTATCTACATAGGGTATTTATGTTTAGGAAATTAAGATATTTTGAGCGACATACGTAAAAAATTGACACATACGGTTTTTATGTTATGTAATTAGCCACCAATTTTTTTAAACGTTCAAATGAACTAATTTCAAAGTGTTTTTATCCGTTTTTACTAATTATGAAAAAAAATTGCAAACAAATATATGATAGCTCTTAGTGTAAAAAATTCAAAAACATCAAAATCTTAATTGGACGGCAGTATTGTAGATATGGCAAGAATGTTAACTAGTTCGGTATTTTTTCCTATCAATTTGGTTCTTTATCAATTTTTGTATTCAATTGTTACATTCAGAATCACTTATATACTGATCATATGTATTATAAACTAATCGTAATAATTAAATTTCTAATTTTACCTTGTTTCTATCTGGAAGTTTGTTTAATATTTCAGCTGCCCACACATGCTGCATTTCCTTTATATACTGACGATGGATTTATATTCACTGATGGTGGAGGGACATTTAAGACTTCAAGAATTTTGTTGTTTATTAGCTTCCCAGTAATTTTCTTTTTATCCTACCAACAGTTGGAGTGTCATTTGCAAGGCTTGCTGAACTACTTGGCCTACTATCAGATTTTGAATTAGGTGTTATATCCCGTGGCATTTTGATACTACTGATAGTTTTTTTTTTAGATTAATAGAATCGTCCAAGAATTGTAAGGCAGAAAAATGTTTCCAGACCTTTTGTTTACCTTTAGCACCCATTCCACTTGGCTTGTGTAGACACAAATTTCCCTTTTCAACTAACAAACAAATGGAAATTATTATTATTTACAAAATTGTATAATTTTTCAAAAATTATATCCTTTATATATTTGTTTCGCAGATTTCTCCATTTCTTCTTTATTTCTTCAAGGGGAAATATCTGTCTCATAGCACTGTATGTTTCAACTTTCAAATCATCTTTAATATTTTTTGAACGATTCTTTACTGGAATTTGATGATCCCACAAAGCTGGTCTTCATTATACCATCAGAAGTTCCTCAGCGATCGTATCGTTAAATAGAAATAGTCCAGTTATTGAAAGCCAGCCCAACTATAATTTTAAGATCATGATACAATTTTATTTTATTACGGTTGGTTGTATAACTGTTTGGCAAAAGCTGTTTTGTTTTATTGATATCGCCAAAGTGATTATTTTGTCTTCGCAACTAAATTGTTTTTTAAATAAGCTCTAAAAATGTTCTTAGAGCAAAATTATAAAACATTTTGGAGATTTTGGTTTTAACTGTTTTATAAACGTTTATACAGCGATGATTATAAAATACGGAACAAAACTGATTTATAACAGCATTTTAATAACGATTCCCGATTAGTCAATATGCGAACATTTATAAAACTATCCTTTAGACGCTTTGATGGGCATTAATAAAACAATTTTATTAGGATTCTTTTTAGAACTATTTACATATTACAGACAGCATATCCCACTATGTTGTAGTTGTTAATTGTTATATAATCGGAGCAAGCGCTGCTCTTATAGAACACTCATTAAACAGTTAAAAAACTACAATTAATCAAACAGTATAATCTGTTCGGTACCTACTAGTTTTATAAAACAATGGGCGCGTTTGGCAGAAAAAATATTTACCGGTAACGAAAATCTGCTCAACATATCGGTACATTTTCACATTTGACAACATTGGTAAACCGTTACATCTAGCGAGCGCCTCTTTTATTTGGTAGTACCAGCAGAAAAATCCCAAACTATTGCCGAATTTTTCTGTCCTGGTGAACACGCCCATTGATAGGTAGATTTATGCGCCATATTTTTGTTTGTTCAACCCCTTTAACGCGAGCGTTCTACGGAGGTATCTGACTTGTCCTAAAAACCCTAACATACAACAATTACCTAAGTACTATGAACTAAGAAATGACTTAGTTGCAACTCACCTTCTGTAGAAGGGTTTAAATTGGGGTAACCAAAATTACCTTCGGATGTAAAGTGAATCTTGGGGCAAAACAAAACTAAATTTATCCTGGATGAACTTCTGCACAAAAAGATTGTCAGAAAAGCGTCTCTGAAAACTGTTAGTGGGAGACTTCTGGATATAGAGACACATCGACTGTACACAGTATAAGCACTAATAAAGGTGGTTTTTCAAATCCCATGAAAATGGAAAACCGTAAAATTAATCACGATGCACCTATTGCTTTTCACTTCACCAGAACCTGTCCGTCTCTATCAGTCAAATATTATTTTCTGAGGAGACCTAGAGGACACTTTTTGTAGATCTAATTTCAACGAATTTACAACTTTAATGGTACTCACACGTTACAGAAGGGACTAATATTTCTTCGTAGATCCATTAGGATCTCGATTTTTACTATTTTTACACAAACAAAAAAATCTATGGAACCTCCAAACAGCGGAAATCCAGCGACACTAGTGAGTCTCTACTTGACCGTATACCTTTAATTTGAGGAAAAATGTATTGACTGAGAACCAAAAGGTAGTTTATTACTTTTTTTCCAAAATAGTACATACCACATCTAGGCCTTAGTTATGAATACACTTATTTTTAAATAATTTGTTCTGTTTTCATTAAAAGTTACATTAATGTACGCGTACGTATTATGTGTTGCATAACGTAAAACGTCGATTAATTACAGTGTCATTTGTACATTTCAAACGTTGTATTATTGGTATTATCAATAAATAAAAATGTGTCCACAGTAGAGTGAAATTATTATTATGCTCTCTGTACATACTATAATTTTAATATTTATTTTTAATTTTGTGTAATTTTGTTTTGTAGTGTAGTATATGATTTTTATATTGTGTAATGATTAAATATTCGTTTGGGCGCCTTTTGTTGTGTAGAATGTGATTTGTGTGTGTTGAAATCAAAATTTGTTTATTGGATGTAGGTTCTCGTGTCAAATTATATCCAACCGAATATTATATTATACTCTCTAGCCTTATTATAGCTTCAATTGATGTGAAAAGTACATATACGTAATGTCGAATATTTTAACCAGACTTCACAATAATGATTTTTTTTATTTTCAACATACAATAAAATCTTCGGTCACATATTTAATATTTATTTATAATTATTTTTTAAATATAGAAACGAATCATTCACCCATGGACAATGTAGAACTTAACCTCTGCTTGACTGGATCAGCTGTTAGCTTGCGCACGCGCAATTGATTTTGTTCCATTTGTTCCAAGGTGACATTGGGATACAATATTCGTACCATTGTGAGTCTACAGGCATACTTTAAAGATTTAATTTTCAGACTAATTATGACAAAATCGTATACCGATATCTTTTTAATATAACATCTGTAAGTGTAATACGTCAGTTAAAACTTACACAAATATTGCAACTTCACAAAGATCTCACACATCACTGTCGTGATATATTCTAAAGTTCTAACAAGTATCAGTTCAAAATACTGTACCTAGCAACATAAAATGATTATTTTGAATATGATCCACCCATCGCAGATCTATGTAACTACTATGCATTGTAGTTTAAGACTCACTGATTATACGTGATTTTTTTGGTTAGTGTATCTCGAGAAATAGCCACAAAAAACCACCCTTCAATTTTTCAATTTTTTTTTCTCACTGTTTATATAGTTGAAAAACTATGAAAAAAATATGCAATATAATTCTTATCAGTAGCTTTCATATGCCGTTGGATTTATTCAAATATCTATCATAGTTTTATAGAAAAATTATTTTGAAGTTAAGGGTTGCAACCCCATTTTTTTAAAAATGAGCAAAGATAGAGCTCTGATAATTGGTCAAAAGTTATTTCTATCAACAAGCAACACACTGAAGACACTATTGTTAAAAAACACGCCAGTGCAGATTTCACGTGGAAACCCGGTACATTGGGTCGTGCAAACGATCTCTGTTGGTTACCTGTTAGAGGTTTCCGAATACAAGACCCAGGCTTTGGCGTCTTTAATTCCTTCCCAACACCCTCGATGGTTTTCGCCGCTTTAATCTTTTCGCCAATGTCCTTGCCAAACAATAACACGTCAGGCTGGCCTTTCAGTAACTGTTCTTTAACATTTTTGTTGAGGGACTGACCTATCAGATTTCTCATATTTATTGATATGCGGTGAAAAAGACTGTCAAATATACGACCAGAGTCTATCAAACATGTAAGTAAACCCTGTTTTGTATCAACGGGAATGTTTTCCGTATTGTTTAATATCATATTTAATGATTTACTTAGCGCGCATATGCCTTTCTTGCAGGTATTTGTCAACTTCAATGATGGCTGCTGCTAGTCGACTGGTGCCTGCACCTGCAGTCAATTTTGCTGCTTCTGAATCAAATGCATCCCAAAGAAGAGAGCAGGTTTGATGGGTGGCTTCTGTTACAGCAACGTTAGCGGATTGTTGAATGTTAATCGCTGACACTTTACCCTTCAATTTTTCCGCACCGATGTTATATTTATTTACATCCTGAAAACCGATTTTTTTTTTAATCGCGGATCTAATATGGTACACTGAACTGAAAGGTCATTGTCTTCAACATCCTTAAATCGCTCGGACATATCTTTTCGAATGTATGAAATAACTGATTGAAGATCTGCTGGAATTTCTGATGGTGGCTGTAAACTTAGTGAAAACATTTGTTTATTAATAGCTTTGACGAAGACTATTACTTTGGATCGTGTCACTGTTTTTTTCGGAGCTTATTACTTCCGTTACCAACTGAAATATTTTCAAAATCTCTATTAATTTTTCTATAATTTTCTATTCCGTTTGATTAATAGTTGGCAAGTTAGTATCTAACAAAGCAATAGTGGCAACTATGGTATCTTTAGTTTCAAAGCACATAGATAACATTTCCAAAGTCGAGTTCCACCTCGTAGCTACATCTTGTTTGAGTTTTAATTGTGCTAAACCCATTTGTTCCTGTGTAGTATGTAATTTAGCAAGTGCATGCGGACTTCGCTTGAAATGTTCCACAATAGATTTAATGTTCGATATAATAGGGGCAATTGCATCTTCTTTAATGGCCCTCTGTACAACCAGATTAAGTGAATGTGAGAAACAAGACAAATGACGCCACTGACACTGCCGAATCGCTGCAACAATATTATTTGCGTTATCACTGATACAAGCAGCGATTTTGTTCTCCAGGCCCCATTTCCTAGTAATTTCTTGTAAGCGAGTTGCCAAATTGTTAGCAGTATGTCGTTGGTCAAATTCTATGCTTTCCAATAAAACAGAATCAAGTTTAAACACGGCGTCTATAAAATGGGAAGTAACTGCCATAAAACTTTGGTTGTTGATTGATGTCCAACAATCTGTGGTGAGGCACACAGCTTGAGCATTCTTTAGTTTATTAAAAACTTGTTCTTTTGTCTTTGCATACAGTTGTGGTAAAAGACTTGTGGAAACAGTTTTCCTTGAAGGTAATTTATACTGTGGATTAAGCATTGAAACGAACTTCTTAAACTCTTCGTCTTCTACTAAAGAAAATGGTTGATATTCTTTTACAATTAGTTTTATTAATTGTTCGTCAATTTCTTTCCATTTTAATGCTGTTATTTGTTTGGAAACTCGAATGTAATTCGAAAGTTTTTCCTGGATTATGACACCACCCGCTTCATTTTTTTTTCTCTTCCGAGCGGAATCAGAAGTACTCGCATCAGAGATTTCGGGTGAATTAATTTCTGATTTTGATGTCGATGGGTTAGAAGAAATTAATTCAGTATCTGTTCCTGATGTGATTGGGGTTTCATTTTGGACTGAGTTATCTCTATTAATCGTAACAGTTGGATGTTTAGCTTTCAAATGTCTTGATAAGTTTCCGAATGATCCAGCAGCAAAACTTAAATTGTGTGAACAGTATAAACTACACTATACTATACTATGAGGCAAGTGTGTAGATGAGCTCTGTTTCACATCATTTTATATAGTCTATTATATGGGGCAAATGTGTAGAAAGAGGTTAATTTTTTCGTATACAATGCTTTTTGAAAAATTTGAATAAAATAATTTGTCAGAAAGTAGCAAACTTTTTATTAATAAAGGTACATTTTTTGTTGGAGTTAAAACAATGATAAACTTCTTAAACATTAAATTTAAAACAGGAATGTATTATAATTCTACTTAAGAACTTCACGTCAACTTATTCTACGTTATATCCAGTAAAACTAATGTCAAAACGAATAAAATTTCGTCTGCCACACACTGAGGGAGTGGGGAGTGTCATCATAATATCTTCTCTCGACACAGTAGAACAATCTTCAGGATTTGCCCACACGAAGTTGGTGGTGTTAAGGGATTTAGTGAAGGTACTTTTCTTGTGTATTTTATTTCAAGGTCATCGTCGTCATTAACAGCTTTTATTTGTCCGACATAGTAGCGTTTTAATTTTTTTGTGGCAAAAAGTACCAACACCCAATCATTTACAGTAGCATCATTTCTAGTTTTATGGATGTCTTCTATATATTTATCTTGCAATTCATTATCAATAAACTCGTCTCCAAAATCTTCATCGCTATTGTCTTGCAATACTATTTCTTCTTCTGAGGACTCTTCTTCATCTATGCATGTAACAGGATGTATAATTTTTGTATCACTTTTTTTCTTACTTACTAAGGCTTTGGTATTTTTTTCTTGTATGCGACTAATTACTTCTTGTGAGGTTATCACCTCTGCACCAGAAGCAACTTTTCTTTTTGGTCTTTGAACCTCTCCTTTGGTTTGCTTAACCATTGTTAGCAGTAATTCTTCAAAAGTGGTCTTCTGACTTTTACATGTTTCTAAATAAGGTTCATTATGTGTTGGACACTCGTATGTAGTACATGGCCCAGCGGATGATTCCTGATGTAAATGTGTTTTATTTTCCTGACTGGAATGCTGATGACGTTCCCATCGTTGATACGCCAAGGGATCATAGTCATCCTTTGTAATGACTTCTGGGTTAAATGGGTATATACCGCCCTTTTTGAACCCATTGCGGATTACTTCCGTTCTAAGTTCCTTCCATATTTCGCCGACCAATTTACTAAAGGTTTTTTTTTGGTATCTTCTGATTTTCGTGAGTTCTCTGCCACTGTGTAAGGTTGTAATCCCACTTGGTTTTCATAGATTTGAATACACTCAAATCGAGAGGTTGTAATAAATGGGATGAATGTGGGGGTAGTTTCAATGTTGTAACCTCCTGTCCAATAGCTGATGTAATCAGTCTGACATCTACATGGGACACGTGTCCATCGTAAATTAATAAAACTGGTCTCCTGGGGCCAAATGCTTCTAACAACGATTTTTCAAAATATCTTAGGAAAACTTCCGATTCCATCCATCCCTTGGTGGTGGCAGCATAGGTTGTACCAGGATAACTGTCATCCGGAGATGCTACCCATTCACTCCAAAATGTTTTTCCCCTTGAAAACAATTGAGGCGTTTACTGCAATAGTGGCCTAACTTAAAAAATAGCATTTGTGAATAATTAAGGTTTAAAATATAGTGATATTTTTAATGGTTCTTGCCGTGAGAAGCAATTTAATACATTTATTTTAAATTTGGGAAAAGGTTCACCACTTTCATTGGTAATCAACATACCATATAATTTTACATTATAAAACACCGAACATTACCAAAAAAACATAGGCCACTTGTGCAGGTTATTATATAATTTCAAGAATATTAGGTCAATTATAAACAAAAACTATGAAACTATACTAACAACTTTTATTGAAAAATCAATAGGATATATTCGTTCTGTGACTATATAATGTAACTGTATAAATATATGTATATTAAACATAATAAGTTATTCTTCTTATCTCCATTAAGAGAATTCTATATATATATTCGTATAGTCCATTGGGATCATCTGTATTTATGGGTGTATTTTGTTTTACTCGTAGATCAATATAAAACTTGTGAAAAATTGGAGGTACATAAGGTAACAAGTCAGTAAGGTTATTGTACTTTAAACTATCAATCTCTCTCCCGAAATCTGTATTTCCACACTTAGGCCACTATTGCAGTAAGCGCCTCAATTAACGGGGGAGCTTTATACCCAGCAGCATTCACAGCCACCAACACTGTAATGTTTTCCCTACCACTGCCAGGTGTTGTTCTCGATGACGGTACACCTTTTTTGCCAACCACTTTTGTTTTTGAGGGATCGAGAGAAAAATTGGTTTCGTCGAGATTCCAAATCTGCTCCGGCTTTTTCGCAAATCCCAATCATCTAACTGTTTTTGGAGTATATTGAAATATTCTTTGATAATAAAAGGGTCCAGACACTGTTTTCTGGCAAATTCAACCGGCTGCGGTTTTTTTAATAGAAAGATTATGGCGTTTGCGATATCCCAAAAACCAGTCTTCACCTGGCCGTCCCCTTTTAAATGGAGTTTTTATTCCGTTTTTTACGATATAATTTTGAACTAAATCAAGAAGTTCGACTCTGCTTAAGCCCCACCCCCATTTCTCCACGGTGGCTAGACAATGTGCCAACTTTGTTTCTTCTTCAAATGGGATAGCAGTACTTCTTCCCATTGTTTTACTTTTTTTTCCTCGAAGACTTATGCGATGGTAACTAATAGTCATTTGCGGAATATTGTATTTCTTTGACGCTGCGTAAGCAGTCATTACACCATTTCTTACATCTTCGACTGCTTTTTCCAAAACTGTTTTCGTGTATGATGTGGCTCTATTTGATTTTCGTTTATATGTTCGAACCATTTTTTCTACAAAAATGGTATCTAATATAATAGTTAATGTGCATGGGGCAAGTGTTTAGTATATGGGGCAAGTGAGTGTTATGCTACTCACTTGCCTCGCATATTTACTACACAGTTGCCCCAATGCATGTTTGACCGAGGCAACTGTTTAATACATCACTTGTGTTTTTTTTTGTTAAATATTGAATTAAAATACACATGAAATTAATAATTAACTTACCTCTCCTATACTGTTTTATATTTACAAATTTCAAATTGTTAAATTTAACAAGGATGACACTGGATTTAAAATAACACTACACACTACTGTTCACATGTGCATTTAACTAATAAGTAAACATGACTGATTCTAAAATCGTAGACACAAGAATGGCATGTTTTTTAATATGGAGGGAGAGGTATGATGAATACCAACCACTGTGTATAAATGGCGTACCATCAGTTAGTTTAATAAAAATTTTGTGGTCCATATAAACACTTACTCCAGATACACAGTTACCCCACTTAACCTTACCTATTTTATATTTCATTCTTTAATTCTGCACCGAATTCTAAGTATGTTTCATGTATGTATCATTTCCTATACCTAAACTCAACAGTTATAGACAAATTTACAATTTATTTATTTATTTATTTATTATTTATTATTTATTTATTAATAAAACAGAACAACAAATCAAATTAAATGTTCAAATTGCTGACCACTTAGTAAAAGAAAAAACAGCAAAAAAATATTAACCCCATTGTCAGTATGCAATGTAATAATTTTAACAAAATTTTTGAATTAATATTTCAAGTATCTAGTTGAATTATTATTGAGCAGTGTATTATTATCGACTTGATTTCTGAGGTTTTTTTGTAAATGAAGCAAAACATTTAATTGTGTGCTGATTTTGTTATTTATCAATTCTGGTAATTTTGATTGATGACTTGTCACCATTTGTCACATGGAAACTGTATGATAATTTGACTTAAAATAAGTACCTAATTGTCAAGTCCAGTTGTATTCGCGAACAGTACGAGATTATCTTCACAATATTTTTCCAAACAGATGGATCGGAAGGAGAAGTTTTATCGAATGGCCAGCCAGGTCTCCAGACCTAACCCCATTAGTTTTTATCTATGGAGTTATCTGAAATCCAAAGTCAACTTCAGTAAACCGGAAAATAATGAAGAATTGAAGACTAGAATTAGAGCAGAAATAAGCAAATGTATCCCCAAACGTTAAGTGAAGTCTTTTTAGAATTTGAAGTTTGACTTGCCTTTTGTCAGGAAGTTAATGGTCAATAATTTGACCATTTAGGGCCGGTTCTACAATGCAAGTATAAAGTTCCGTATAGTTATTCTCCGGATATCTTATACTTCGATTTATTCCAAGTATAACAACGTTTGCGTTCTACATTGCTCGTAGAACTTCGGTATAACCGCCGAAAAACGCCGTAGTAGATACAGCGCTCAGATTTAGTTCAAGTGAACTGACAGAAAACGGAATAAAACGCGGGAAACAAATCTTTACAATTCACATGCCGCTGCCACATGCTTGGTTTTTAGTTTATTGATGGTTTATTTGCAAATATTTAAGTAGTTAGTGTGTGCGTGAAGTGTGTGAAAATGGAAATGAAGAAAAGGTGTACCAATTTCACAAGAGATTGGAAGACAAGTGCCAGTTTTAATGTGTTTGGTAGAGGAACATAAAGAAATCATTGGTAAATACTCAATATTTTTAATATACACGTT